CCTCGCCCGACCCCCGAGGGCTGGGCTCGGCCTCGCCAATGGATAGAAGCTAGGCTCCGCCTCACCCAACGTCCGAGGACGGACCTCGACTCGCCCAATGTCCAAAGGCTGGCTCTACCTCACCTGACAACCGCACCCCGCTCCCTCATGATGATAGGCACAGGGTAAGACAAGAAGTTCGGGTCAACCACGGCATCGAAGGACCATGTCCTGCGCCCCTGTAGGAAAGTACCATTAGGGCATGACGGGACGGGCGCTTAGACCCTTCCAGGCGTGGCAGAGCCTGAATAGTGTTGCAGGCGCGCATGCTCTTCGCCCTATAGAGTTGTAGGCGCCGCCTTCAACCTCGCGGGCGAAGAACCCAACATGGACATACGACAACCACTACATTCCAAGGAGGGACTCCCATCCTCTACAATGGCAAACGAGCAGTCACCACGCCATCCGCTCCCCACGGGGTCGGAGATCAACAACCCTGTCCGACACGCCGCCCACGGGGGCGGGACGGGACACACCCACTTGCTCAATGAGGCCAGGGAATGGCCTACGAAGATCAACAACCATGCCACTCCTAACACGGTCTACCATGTTATGCAGGGCTGGCGCGGGAAAAAGGGAGACCCGGATCCTTCGAAGGACCTTCTATACTCTTGGTATTTTTCTCGTTCTCCCATCTATAACCCCTGCTCCCCCCTTGGTCTATAAAAGGGAGGGTAGGGCTCCCCACTAAAGGGGTCAACTTTTGATGGACAACTCACACACAGACGAACTCATAGAGAGCTCGGTTCGACACATCACGCACACAGCCAGGCCGCCACCAGGCTCTTGGCATCCTTTTGACCCCTCCATCAGAGACCTAGGACTAGTCCCTCTCTCGACCGTTTGTACCCCCTACTACGAACCTTTTTCGGTGCTAATAACACGAGCAGCAATAGACTGGACATAGGGACATTCAGCCCGAACCAGTATAAACCTTGTGTCCTTTAGCACACCATCCGGGCCTAACACGCATCAATTATAAATTTACTAGCCGGTGCTTGTTCGAAACACCGATAGTTGGTGCGCCAGGTAGGGGCCTTTGCGCGTTCCAAACCAGGCCACGGATGGCTAACCACAACGTCAGCTGTGGCCCAGGCGCACACGTGCGCTTCGGGAGCCTAGATTTCATCATCACGATGGGAGGAGAGTTGGTACAGGCGCACACCACCATCCAATCTCTCCCCTCCATCGGCCTCGACCACAAGAGGCTTGGGCGCCGGCTCGGCGTCTGCCCTGGACCCCAGCAGTCCAGGGAGAACCAGCGACGCCTCGCCCTTTCCAACGACGACGATGTGGCATGACCTTCCGGAGAGGGGCACCTCTCCCCGAAGCGCCACATGTGGAGCGCCCCGACAGTGTTTCCGTTCGGTCTCCGCAACGCCACGGCGACCGCTGGCCACCTCGTGGCACAACACATGGTTCAACCGTCCGCGGACAGCGAGTTCATGGGGGTAATTGAACACGACATGGAGTCCCTCCACAAGCTCCACACTGAGGAGCCAGGATCGTCCTCTAGCTCTAACTCCAGCAGGGGGAGCCATCACCCTTCCCGGTGATGCTTCATGGTAGAAATCCCTAAGGGGCGCGTCGAAAGCATCTCCGAGGAGGAGGCTACCCCGGCAGGCAACCCCGACGGTAGGATCGGAGGGGAGGCAGCGGCCCCATCTCACGTAAGGATGGAGCAGCTGAGAGCCCGGAAGCTGGAGATCGATGAGGCCGAACAAGGGCTCGTACGGGAGTACGCGGAGATCAACCGTGAGATCGAACGCCGCGGAAGCGGTGGGCGCGCATGCGCCACGGCCTGTGATGTGCACCAAAGGATCCTCACCGATGACGGGACCCTCCCTCACTTCGCTCGGGCAAGCCAGAACATCGCCGCTGCGACGGCCTTGCTTCACGGCCTTCTAGAGGCCGCGACGTCCGAGGATCGCTGGGCCCACCGAGAAATTCGCACGTTGCTCGAGCGTGCGGCGGTGCAGCAGGTGGAAAGCTCGTTGTCTCGGTGACGCGAGCTCGACATCAGCCCGTGCATGCCCTCAGTGCGCCCCACCAAGGACGCGTCGGTTCACCAGACACCGCCAAGCGGCAGGCAGCACACCGTTGTCCCGGTGCATCAACGTCTCGGCCACAACCGTGACGCACGCAGAACCATCGACGCCCGCAGATGTGTCTACAACGACTCAAGAGAAGGAGCCAAACGCGGCTACCACCCTCGGTGCGGCGGACGCTACGACAGCGACGAGGACCGAAGCCCGAGCCCCGACCTACCGGGCCCTCAGGCCTTCGGCCGGAACATCCTCAACGCTGCTTTCCCACCGAGGTACCGACCGCCTACCAACATCCCTAAATATTCTAAAGAAACAAACCCCGGGCTTTGGCTCGAAGACTATCGGCTTGCCTGTCAAGCCAGTGGCGCGAATGATGACGATTTCATTATTCGCAATCTCCCACTATTCTTGGCCGATTCGGCGCGAGTATGGTTGGAGCACCTACCGTCCAACACCATTCAGAGTTGGGCGGATCTGAGGGAAATCTTTGTGGGGAACTTTCAGGGCACGTACAAGCGCCCTAGGAACCCATGGGACCTCAAGAACTATCGCCAGAAGGCCGATGAAACCCTCCGTGGGTACATCCGGCGCTTCTCCCGACAGTGTAACGAGCTCCCTAACGTCGCCGATGCCGACGTGATAGGAGCCTTCCTATCCGGGACCACCTGCGAGTCTTTGGTCCATAAGCTGGAACGCAAGGGCCCACGGACCACCAAGGAACTCCTGGACATCGCCACCAGCCACGCCTCAGGAGAGGAGGCGGTCGGAGCGATCTTCGACCATTCCGATGGCAAGGCGAGGCGGGATGAGGGCGCCGAGAAGGTGCCTCCAACCGTTCCGCCAAAAGAAAGAATAAGAAGCAACGGCGTGACGACTCGCTCATGGCCGCTGCCGACCGCAAGGGTGGTCGGAAGCCCGCGGAGGGCACTCCGAACCACTTCGAAAAAATGCTCGAATGGCTGTGCCCGAACCACGCCTTTCCTGTAAAACATCTGCTCAAAGACTATGGCCTCATGCGGAAGTTCTTGCTCGGAAGCGCCAACAAAGGGGAGCAGGGGAAGGAGCCTGCCCCCACCACAGACGACGCCTTCCCGACGCCGAACGGTGCCCTCATGATCTTCGGAGGATCAACGGCCTACGACTCCAAACGACGCCAGAATATATACGGTAAGGCTATTCTGCAGCTGGCCACATAATAACTTATTCTATGGCCACCTTGATTTACGATAATGTTTGTACCAATTTATAATAATAATAATACACATTTACGATACATGGGTTACTATAATTCAAGATGATACTTACCATAATGCTATAGTAAATCACTTATGAGGGAGTTACCATAATCTCGTAAATTAGTATAGTAATTATCGTAACTCAAAGTGGCCACAGAATAACTTATTCTGCGGCCAGCTATAGAACAGTATGTGTGTGTGTGTATATATATATATATATATATATATATATATATTGGAGTGTTTTATTTGATCATTTTCGAGCACAAACTGAGTCTACAGCCAATTCCCGCGGCCTTCTTTTCATTTTCAGCTTCCAGGCCGGCCTGCAAGGGCAAGGGCGCAAGGCCCAGTGGCCCAGTAAGCCACACGGAGCGTTCCCCTCTGTTCCGCGCGGACGCGGACGCGGACGCGGACGTCGCAGAGTCGCGAAGACGCTCGTGCTCGGCTCCAGCTCCCATTCCCGATTCCCCAATCCCTAATCTTGCTCGCCTGCGCCTCTTCTCCGATCTTGAATCCCGGTGACGGCGAGCGGCCGGCGGCGGCGCTCGGCTCCACCTCACTCACGGCTAGCGGCGGCAACAGGCAGCCAGGCAGGGGCGCAGGGCGGCCGGAGCGGAGGCCGGGGCGGGGCCTGCTGGCCTGGCGCGCAGCGGCGTGCTAGGACGGCCGCGGCCGGCTAGCTGGCTAGCGGGCTGGGCGTTCGGCGGTTCAGCCGAAGGTGAGGGATTTTCCCCTTTATATTCCATTAACGATTTGGTCATTTGGATTTAGGAATGTCCGAATTGACTAGGATTTTCTTCCTGTAGAATGTAGATTACTTTCTGTTTGCATTTTACAAAATGAAGAAGAAAACAGTTGATTTGAAGAGTTTGTGGGATAGAGCAGCAAAGATAAGGGCCCCGTTCGCTGGGAGGAGTCAGGATAAATCAGAAGAAATCGGGAGAATCATCCTAAACAGTAAAATTCAGCTGAGAACAGTACTTCCTCCGTGCAAGCCGAACGCAGCCAAGAAAGGTAGAATTAGGCAGGCTCCACATCAATTCCAGAACCAGTTACAGTAACAGCGGAGGAACGGAGTGAGGCCCAACCTCAAGATCCGGTTGTTCCATCTATTGTGCTGGTAACAAATGAGAGTCAAGTTCGTGATGAAAGCATTCCATCTGTTGACCATGAGATAGCAAGTAGAGAACGTGAGATAGCTAGCAATGACCCCCAAGTTCGAAATCCTGGCTTTAAGAGTTTCAATGGTAGTGGCATAGTTTCTTAAATAGTAATAGTGCGCTTTAAAAACAGTAAAATTATACTGGCACGTATCTAATTAACCCTTGATTTTTTTTGATAAAATTAACCCTTGAAAATTATGAGCGTATTCAACTGGAGAAGCCTTCTTTTTCCCCTTTTCAAGCCTTGTTCTACCGTGGAGATTAGCGAAAGGAAGGCCCAATCAGCAATCTATTGTGGACACAGCAAAGCCCAGGTCATAGGCTACTTCAAGCCCAACAAATCCCAAAAATTGGGCATGTCCACCGGCCCAAGCTGCTTAACCCAACGACGCGCCTTCCCCCAGAACCGCTTTGCGGCGCGTCGTGCCGCTGCGCCGCCGCCGTCTGAACAATTCGCAAAACCAGCGAGCAGTCAGAGCGAAAGCCGCCGCGGCGCCCGCCACACCGAGGCAATGGAGCCCGCGCTGCGCGAGCTGTGGGCGGAATCCCGGGACCTGCTGGGCCTCCCTTCCCCTTCTCTGGACGACACCGCCGCCGCCGCCGTGCCGCGCGTCGACCTGCCCCCGACGCCGCTCGCGTTCCTCCGCGACCACGTCTCCCCGGGCCGCCCGCTCCTCGTCTCCGCCGCGGCCACCCGCCACTGGCCCGCTGCATCGCTCTGGCCCACCGCCTCCTACCTCACCGACGCGCTCCGCTCCACCCCCGTCTCCCTCCACCTCACCCCCGACGGCCGCGCCGACGCGCTTGCCTCGCACCCGCACCCACGGCGCTCCGGACCCTCGAGGTGCTTTGCGTCTGCGCACGTCCGCCGCGTCGACTTCCCTACCGCGGTCCGGCTCATCAGGGGATCCGACCCGGCCGCCGGCCTGGTAGCGTACGCGCAGCAGCAGGACGATTGCCTCCGCGGGGAGTACGCGGCGGTCGCCGGTGACGTGGATGCGCACGTGCCCTGGGCCAGTGAGGCCCTCGGCTGCCTCCCCGAGGCCGTCAACCTCTGGATCGGCAACGCCCACTCCGTCACCTCCTTCCACAAGGACCACTACGACAACATTTACGTCGTCCTCTCCGGCGAGAAGCACTTCCTCCTGCTGCCACCGACCGAGCACCACCGCCTCTACGTCCGCGACTACCCCGCCGCCCACTACGTTGCCGCGGAGCAGGATACCGAAGGGGAGCATCAGTTGAGGCTTAAGCTGGAGATGGAAGAGCCCGAGAGGATCGTGCCGTGGAGCAGCGTTGACCCGTGCCCTCCGTCGCCGGAGGAGATGGCCGTGCAGGCGTCGTCGTTTCCGCTCTACTTCGACGGGCCGGCGCCGATACGGTGCACGGTCCGGGCCGGCGAGATGCTCTACCTGCCAAGCATGTGGTTTCATCATGTCAGCCAGAGCCCAGGGCCGAACGGGCTCACCATTGCCGTGAACTACTGGTACGACATGCAGTTTGACATCAAGTATGCCTACTTCAACTTCTTGAGGTCGCTGGAGATCAATGGTTGTTCATCGGGCAAAGCTGGTGCTTTGGAAGGTGATCTAGAGGAGAAGAAAGATTGAGATGGCGGACAGACTCTGATTACCCCTGGTTTCTGCTGAACATCATGATGCTATGCCGTGCTGAGTTTGTTGCGGACACTGTCTAACAGAGTAACAGCTCTTCGAGTATTACGAGTTGTTGCTGGACACATGGAAACCAATTAATCGGCCATGTATGTTTGTACAACATTTGCAGGTGCCAATTGGCCTATCAGGCTCAATTTGGTTGCAACTAGAACATTAGATTTGGTGGTGCATTGGCAAATTTTGGCTGCATTCACAAAAGAGAACATGAATTTTGAATTGTGTCCATGTGTTCCTGATCCTCTCTGTTTCTAGTGATGATTCTTCGTATCCTGCAGGCCTTAGTTATAGCTTGTGCAAATTAGCATCATTATATTCACTGGAGGGATGGATTGTCTTTGTAGAAATCAGAAGGTCAAGACCAGCTAAAGAACTGTGCAGGGTGGATAAAGAACATCATGGGTGAGACGCTAGCTTTACAGGTTGGATAAAGTTGAGGTTGACAAGTGCTTAATTCATAAGGTTGAAAACCAAGATGAAGCTATATAGACAAGGGAGTTTCCGGCGTGGAAGAAGTGGGAGAGAGGGCAGAGTTTCTCTTTTGTCCATGCGTTGATGGTCAGACTTCGTTGTTGTTGTGAAAGTCAGCACCAAATCAATCTGGTTCCTGTGCTTGTTGTAGTCTGCCTTTGCTTATTTGGTTTGTTTCTTCCGTATGAAAGTATGAACTCTTTCTCTTTGTATGTTTTTTTTTTCTTTTTGTCAATAGGGTTCAGAGGCATTGGCAAATGTTGGGTGTGCATTAGAAAAGCTCCACGTTCATGCGGTGAACACATGATGAGTACATGATGTAGTCTAAAGTCCAAAACTGATATTTGATTTTCTTTTTCTCCTTTTTGCAATCATAACCGCGCAATACTGCTTATATATTTTCATTTTTCATTTTCAAGGACCTGAGAAGTCCGAAGTGTTTCTGGGCGGTTTTGATGGGATTTGCCATACTTGTGGCAAAAACTAAATCCACCCCCAGTTAACTTGTGCGTTGCATTGCTTGTTATGCGTGGCAGCATTTTCAAGCATGTCCTGAACTTTTGCTTCTTGTGACAGTTTTCAATGTTCCATGATGCCACTCTTGTTTTCAAGAAGCATTTGGGATTTTGAATCATCGAACTGCTCTAAGGTGTTCAACAGCAATGCAGCGTGAGAGAACAGTGGCGTCCAAATGCCTCTTAAAACAGCAGAAATACGAAGGCTACAGCTCATTCCAGGCATTAACATTGGGAAAACTCAGTATATTAACTGCAATAGCACTGCCAAAAAGTTTCATTGGCATTGCCGTACCAAGCATAAACCACCGAGTACTCAAAAGAGCTAGGTTCACACCCAGAAGAAAATCTGAAGTACTTAGACACGAGATAAAGGTTCAACATCCAGCATAAAACATAAACTAGGACAAGACTTAAACTTCAATGACTCTGATTATGACACTTTGGATGAAGCTTGATACTTGTCGCTGTGGTTGCTTTCTAATCATACTTATCAATACCATACTTGGAGACAAACTTGTGCTTTTCCCTCAACTGAAAATTGAAGAATGTTGGAAAAAATACATGAGACTAAAGAATGAATACCATTCATCACAACGTAATTGTATCAGTTGCCAGTAATGAAATAAGGAAGGCCACAAACATGGACTAAGATAGGCTATATAATCGAACGTAATTGTATCAGTTGCCAGTAATGAAATAAGGAAGGCCACAAACATGGACTAAGATAGGCTATATAATCGAGGTAGCACAGATGCGTATTACTTAATTGTTAGGGGAAATAACTCTAACCTCATTGTTGTGACCGCACTTCTTCTTGCGACAGTTGGTAGACCTGAGGGGAAGGCGAGCATAGCACCTGAAAAGAAGAAAAAAAGTGAAAAAGCTAGGCAACGTTGGCACACAATGACACAACACTGTAACTCATGGCAATAATAAGACTTGAGGAAATAGCACATAGTTACAGAAGAGGCTGATGACTAGACAAACTAAATTAGCAAGACAGGAAGCACACATGTTAAATTGACAAACTAAAAAGAACGACCTGCCAAATCACATAAGCAAGGCAGCTATGAACTAAATGCCTGTCATGCATCGACCTCTGTTTCACTTTCACAATGCATATACATTGCAGTTAATAAAGTGGCTTAGCTCAATGTAAATCACACAATTTGAACAAGCAGCATAGAAGCACAAGAAGAACCAGTACACATGGTGACATGCATAGTCGATCGAACGTAGTAAGCAGCAAATTATGCAATGTATGTATGGTGAATTAGGGACATGCGTGCGTATTTGCGGTTCATTGCAGTTACAAAAGTGGCTTGGCTCAATGTAAACCACACAAACAAGCAGCATAAAAGCACAAGAAGAACCAGCACACATGCAGCATAACCAATCTAAAGTACTACAAGTCTAGATGTAAGCACCAAATTATGCAATTATTGATATATATGCATGGTGAATTAGGGACGTGGGTGCGTACTTGCGGCAGATCAGCTTGTTCTCCATGTACTTGCGCGCGAGCACGAGGAGGTTGGGTGGGATGTTGAATTTGAAGCTCTTGCTGCCGCCGCGGAGGCGGAGCACCAGGTGAAGGGTGGACTCCTTCTGGATGTTGTAGTCGGCCAGGGTGCGGCCATCCTCCAGCTGCTTTCCGGCGAAGATGAGACGTTGCTGGTCCGGCAGGACGCCTGCAATGATTGAGCCAAAGCAAAGCCAACAAAACACTGACGGTTACTTCAATTTCAATTAATTAATCCCAACACAGACGATGCCATGCACATGCACAATTTGCACAGAACCAGAGGCACAATTTGCACACGATCCGAACTGGATGATGAAATTGAACCAGGGAAATGATCCAAAACAGGGAATTTCTAAAGCAGATTCAGTTCAATTCTATATCTAGTAGCCAAACAAGAAAACTAGAAAAGGGTAATCAATCCTACCACCTCCAATTCCTTCCAAGAAACAAAAGAAAAAAGGAGTTCAAGTGTTCAACACACTGCACTTAAACAGGATGGAAAGAAAGTTTTGATTCAGTTCATCAAGACCAGTAGACCACCCAACCTCGTCGATCTGTTCTGTTTTTCTATCAGATTATGAACAACGCAGAAAAATGGGGGATCCGACGATACCACATATCTAGATGCTTAGATTACTGAACTTTCTCCCAAAACCAGCAAAGGTGTAGAGGCTTAGTTGGGGTTTTAGGTCCTTCAAACAAGCGTCAAGCGATCTAGTAGTACACATGGACAGTCCTTAAAAAGATTCAGTTCGAATGTCTAGCGACTTGCAAATAAAGCAATACATCGATCGAACTTATCTTGATTCCGCTCAAGAAACCAAAATAACAAGCTAAATCTAACCCTATCCTTTACCCACCAGATCAAAAGAGAGCTGTGGTTTTTGGCTTCAAAATAAAAGCCAGCCATCCAGTAACACGGGGGATTGGATGAAGATGAACTCGACTTTCTCTCTAAGAAGGCTAAACCCCGCATATGTGCAGAGAAAAAAGGCAGGGGTTTTAGCTCCTCCAAACAATCGATCGAACACACATGAACGGACGACGACGAAAACGCAACAACAAATTAAACGAGCAGGAAACGGATGCTACGACGGTTCGGAGAGCAAAGCGGACGGAGGCGAGAAGGTGGTCGGAGACGGCGCATACCTTCCTTGTCCTGGATCTTGGCCTTGACGTGGCCGATGGTGTCGCTGCTCTCGACCTCGAGCGTGATCGTCTTCCCCGTCAGCGTCTTGACGAAGATCTGCATCTCGATCCGCCTTCTTGGGATCGCTCGCTCGCCGGTGGGAGTGGGTGGTGCCGTGGTGGTGTGGTGAACTGGTGAAGGAGACGAGGCGAGGAAAGCACCGCCGCGGACGCGGGCTGGTTATATAGGGAGGCAGTGCAGGGGAGGAAACGCGGCCGCTACGGAAACCCCCAGAACCCCAAAAGCAAGCAGAAGCAGGGCTCCTTGCGCCCGGTCCACTCGGCTGTAGACCACGGTCGCACGGCGTAGCACCGCGCCGGCATGGGAGTCCTCGCGGGAGGAGAACGGGACGGGAGTGAGTGGGTGATACACTGAGTCACTGACACCCCCGCGGAACGGAACGGGGTCATGAGTTTCGCGGGTGTTGGGCTGGGCCGAGACAGGAGTTAGAGTCTTTGATGTTTGTGGCTGGGGGTCCGTGAAGAGAAATCCATGGGCCGTGGACTTGCTGCTTTACAGTCCTTGTCGCGCTGAATAGTGATTTCTCCTCAGTAATCTTAAATGTTGTGGTAGGTAGATCACTTTCACTTGGGGGCAAATCTATAGACTATAGAGCAGCCGTAGAACAAGTTACTGAGAGGGCAGAGCAAGTCACGGAATCGTCCAGGGAGTGCTCTGATGCCCTCTCGTGGCCGAGTCGACCAAGAGAAGCATTAGAATGAGATGAAGCAGGGACCGACACACAGCAAGATGACAGGCTGACGGCCGATCGGCTGCCTGCCGAGTGCTGGAAACATTTCCAGCGATAACCTGTGCTTTAGCAAATCCGCAAGCAAAAATGCTGATCTACTGCATCCTATGAACGCATCGAACTCGGACTAAAGATTTAACAGCACATTGAAAATTGCGCAGAGGGTCATGAATGAGAACCATACTGGCATTCTTTATTCAAACATGGCCGATTATTCAGTGCCGCGGCAAGAGAAGTCAGACACAACCGCACAAGAAATACACACACACGCCCAACAGGATTCCCCAACTCTATCAATACATCGCAGATGGTCAAGATATCGCCTGGAGTCTAAACAGCTGAGAACAATACACGGTGGTACGGGCCAAATTTTCCTGAAGCCAAGGGGTACACAACAGATACCGCACGGTCTCACTTCTGCATATGGGTTTACATGCTTCAGCAAGGGCAAACGAATTACGAACTTGTAAAAGAGACCAGAAG